TGTAACATCCAGAAAGCTGAAAGTATGTCACTGTCAATATTTAAATGATATTTAGTAGTTCTGACCAGATTTTTTCAGCCAGTGTTAATTTGTGATCTTAACTGCTGAAGCATTTCGTACAGATGTACTTTTGGAGGTAGTTCATCAAGCAGAGGAGTTGACTTATCCATTGATGACACGATGCTAAACCTCTCTAAATACTTACATTCTCCAATTAAGATATCTCTGTCCTTCCTTCTATTTAGGGCCTTCTATTCCAGCATTTATTTGTATAATCTGTATTGGCAAACATTCTCACTCCTCCACGAATGCCTTCCCCAAATTTTTATAAAAAGTCTTTGTTGCTAAATAAGCTTTGCTGTATTGAACTCTTGTGAACTGTATCAGGCAAGCATTATTTGGACTGTCTAATGAATGTATGAAATAGGGCTGTGAAACTCCAGATATGTGCAGTTCAATTCCCAAAATTCATCAACAGTGCTACAGTCCCCAGATCTCAGAGGTATCTAAGTTAGGAGAAAAGTATGCTAGAATGAATAGATTCATTTTAAAATCTAGCCTTGAAGCTGACATACCTGTAGCCACTGATATACATTTCTTTCTGAGAAATATAGAAATTACCTCACTCCTAATTTTATGGTGGCCATTAGCTCTTCATAGAAAAGGTTGGTTTTTCATCATTGATCAGTTAAATCAGAAAAGCTCTTTATTACAGGAAAAGTTGTAGTTTTACTATAATCTGAAGCAGATTTTTTTTTGGTCTGCATTGAACCTCTATAAGCTTGCAAAACATAACAGCTAAAGAGTGACCTTTTGCTCATCCCTCAAAAATGAAGTTTCTAGATGACTTAGTATCAGTAGATCCATCTCATGTTAAGATGTTGTACATAAATCTCCCTTGTGATACCATATTCCTTACTTTAGAGAAATGAGGTTGAGATGTGATTATCTTTGATTTGACAAGAAAAGCTTTAAGCGGCATTCAGGCTGTTCAGTTAATTAGACAAATTTGAGTGAGAAACTCTTAAGATGCAATGCATGAAAAAAATTGGAAGTCAGAGCACAAGTAGAATGTTTAGATGTTTAGCAGGATCCCTTTTTGGTAATTTGAATGATGCTTGGGTAAATACAATACAACATTTTAGTTTATTTTGAAGGACATGCAGATGTTTCAACTATACTTTCTATGACAAAATATATTTGAGCAAAATTTCCATTGGTCTGATGGAAATCCACTGAGATAATTAATGCAGATTTAGAATTAGGGGTGTAAAAATGTGATGCCATGAAACATTCAGGCCCCAAACAGGCTGTTTTGACCTTAAATTGACCTTTCTGAGTGGTCTCATCTCAAAAATAGGACCATCCTGTGGTTGGACCACTTTCTAGCACTCTTAGAATAACCTGTTTGGGGGTTGGAATGTAGAATTATCCCTCCCCTCCAAAAAAAAAGGCATAGAATGCAGGATGTATCGGAATAGCAGAACGGTGTTGTTACCAAAAAAAAGAACATGTCCAAGAGAACTTTTGTGATTCTCTGGGCTCTGCCATCAGCCATCATGCCCACCAGAGTTCTGGAAAATATAGTTCCAACATACATAGAGGAAGCAAGATTATGGAAAGAGTGATCTAGCTCACTGCTATTTACTCTGAATGATATTTGCAGAGAAGAATCATTGCCATTATCTGTTACTCAGAGTTATGGGCCCTGTTGAACCACAGTTTTCACCAAACCTAGTCATTGTGGTCAGTGATGAGGAATCTTGGGAGTTACAGTTCACGGCCTTTGGAGGGATGCAGGTTTCCTTTCCCTGCCCGAATTAAAGGGCTGAATTTTGAAATTGGGATCTTCAGCATGCAGAACATTTGCCCTCAATTAGGACTCCTTCCTTAGCATTGTCCACTTTGATCCTGGCAACCATTTTTATTAAAATCTAAGGTAAAATTGGTTCTGTGACTAAGCCGCGCTACTTGTATAGGAGAGCCGTGGCTTAAGCTCAATATTATTGAATTACTCGATATTACTTTATTTCTCTTAATGAATAACAAAGCAGCTCAAAGTTATTTTCTCAGAGTCATTTTCTAGCAAGATGGGCGGGGACAAATTTTGATATATAAATAAATTATTGATTGATCGATCGATCCAATTTGTATAGCCGCTCATCTCACAGAAAAGTGACTCTGGGGTGGCTTACAACAATCCAATAAAAACAACGTATACATGATCAGTATAAAAAATATTTTAAAAATCAATATTAAAAGAGAATATTTTTTTATTATTGTTAATTGTTTATTGCCATGTTTTTGTTTTTGTTTTTAAGTAAATAATCCCTATTCTCCCCATCAGTAGTTCTAGGTTTACGGTTACATTCCCCCCCCCCCCCCCCCAGCACTTCGCTTTGGAGTGTTCCACAATATAAGAAAATTTCTCCTAATTGCAAGGTTTCTGTCTTTCATTTCAGTACAGCTGGCATAAGATATTTGTTTGTTCCCTGCCACGTTAGAATAGTGGTAGTGTAATACTCTGTTGCAGAAAAACATTAGCACAATTCTATAAAATTCCTTGTTTTTAGAGACTAATAGAGCTCATTTAAGTATTAAGCTGGGCTTGTTAACAGCTTACCTTGTTGTTGTTAATAGGTACAACATTATTATCATTCCAAGCTTTCTTTCTACGATGTTCTTTTTTTTTTTGGCACCCTGATAGATGCCAGGTCTATTTTTATTTAGTGGCCTGTTGTGAATCTTCTTAGGAGATGCACATTCTCACAGAATTTCTTCCTTTAAGCTTTTAAACGCTGGGCTAGAATTAATCTTTTGCTAAGCCATTGAATGAAGGTCTGTTTTATTAATGAAATATTTTTATTAATTACAGTTCTAGGTCTTGTTGTCTGTCATTTTAAGACCTTTTTTCCTCCTGTTTTTCTAAACGATTCAGGAAGTCTGACAGAGAACTCTAAAATTAAGAATTAAACCCGCTGTCTCTCGGGGTACATTTTGGTTTGGATTCTTGCACTGAGCAGGTGGTTTAAATAACCCCTAGGATTTGGGGTATGAAATTAGACCAGCTCCATTATTGGTGGCTTAGTCAGCTGGTATTTTACAAACGAAGGATTCACACATGTATATTTAATAAAACAGCGCATTAAAAGCTCCCCGCCCAAACAGGCTCATAATTTATCACTGTGCCTTTGAAACACATGAATTATGCAGACTCTTCACAACACATGAATGCAAGGTGGTTATTCTATAAACAGTTGAGCTGTTTTAAATTGGCATTCCTGCAATGCAGGTTATAGTATTGATAAAATAATGAAATGCTTGCAAATGGCAGAGATTTTATTCACGCCAGCCTTGGACAGCAATCAGGTAGTTTCCAGTTCTATTACTTTCTAAAACTTCCTTCAGGGGATGCATTTTGGGGGGAGAGGTTTATGCAGCCTCTTTAACATTTTAAAATGCTCTTGAAGTTAGTTTTTGGAATTTGCAAGCCACATTTTCTGTTGTAGGCCCTTATGTCCATTTTCCATTCATTCTGTTAGGAGAGTCATCTATCCTCTAATGTCTTTTTGGATAGGACTTGTACTTTCTTTTTCTGCAGTTGGGTTATTATCATTTTAATTTCTTTTACCACTTCCCCTTTTTGTCCATATCCATTTTTTCCCCAAGTTCCACTCTTGACAGTATCAAAAAATGCTGAACACAACATTCAGAACCTCTCATCACCCGTTTATTGTTCACGAATCCTGACAACCTTTTATCATAAACAATCAAATCAACCATACTTTCAAATTTATATTAGTTCCTTTGCCATGTGTACATATGTTTCAAAACAAGCAATCATTTTTCTGAGCAAGATAACCATAATAATCGCTCTCATTTATTTTTGGTCACCGGATAGCCCAATCATCGCATTATACTGTCTCATTTCATTCCTACCCATTCATTTATGTCACATAACAGAATATTTCCCCCGGATTGCCTTTATTCATAACATTGAACAATTTTTCTCAAAACTCATGTATGATTCTACCATGATTACAATTTAATGGGACATAATATGCCCCGATTACTTACCTATAGATTTTTATACGTACCCTCAACATCCTAGATGACACCAATTCATACTTTCTGGCATACCTTTTAGTCCTTTCATTCAAATTTACACCTTGACTTTCCTGCAGCTCTATTCTGTAAGATCAGAGCACCTTCATACACATCTATTACATCCTTCCTCTTAGTTTCACAGGCACACAGCGAATGTATTTTTCTTTCATTTCATTATTAATTTCTGCCTGTCACCTTTTACTCTTCGTACACTCCAAATCACAACCTTCAGTATGTAATGGGGCCCATAGATATTGACCTCCACCACCCAACTTGGCATAGACAATTGGGACATTCACATGGCACATTTTAAGAAGATAGAGAAGGTACAGGTTAGGTTACCAGCCTTAGTTATAGGCATATTACATGTACCACTCAATTTCAGGTCATCTTAGCTTGTATATCACAAGCTAATGCAACCAAAGCCCAGTTTTACCATAAGCATGTTCACACTGCTATGCAATCTAGGATCTCCAGAGACTACCTGGCAAACCACCATATTGTTGACCACATCCCACCAGCTCAGAGGTACTTCTAATATAGTGAAGCATAGTCAGAATGCAGTGATTAGTAATTAACTAATAATGACTCGTCTTTGGATTTTTTTCTCCAACTGTTCGTTCCTCATTCTTTCCAAGGTTGTTTCCATTTGGTCTTCAGTGCACCTGCCTCATTCTACTTAGATGTGTTGACAAAATGCTGTTTCCTATTTCCTAGGCAAGAGAAAGGGATAACATATTAATGAGCTTGATATTTGAACTAAAGCAATGTTCTAGGTGTGTTGCAGCTGTGCACAGAATGGTGGGGTTGGGAGAAGGATCAGTGCTGCTGCTTGAGTTGGCCTTTCTTGTTCATGCTGGCCAAAGTTCTGATCATCCAACTTCTTTTCATAGCAGCCGTGGCAGCCATGTACTACAGTTATTACATGTTGCCTGATGGGTCTTACTGCCTCGCCCCGCCACCCCCAGGGATTGACATGGCCACTTACTACAGTGCACTGCCAGCCGGAGTAACAGTGTCAAGCACTACCGGCGTAGCCACAATAACAGCGCCTCCGCCTCCCGGCACTACACCACCACCATCTTCAGAAGCAAGTGAGGACACAAGTGGCGTATTGCCTGCCACAAGCACTTCAGCAAGGTATCATATTCCACATCTGCCTGTTTAGAGCAAAAGTAGCTTTGTCCAGTGAACTGTGTAACTAACAACCTGCTCCTAAAGGGACTTTGCTATTTGCAGTAGAACCTCCTCCTTCCCTAAAGGTAGGGGAATCTACTTCTGAAAGTAAACCAAAGCTAATGACAATAACTTGTTGGTTAGACTCAGCAACCCACTGGTGCTCAGATAAGGTTGACTTGATAGCAGCAGGTAATTAGCTACTCCTCCAACAGATGGTTTCCTACCATCATCAGAAACCAACTTTATATAAGTCTAGCTCCAGATGAAGCTAATTGAACATAGCTCCTGCTGAAATCAACAGGATTTTTCTTAACAATGACTGACTTTCTCCATTGATTACAATAGATTCCAGATTCAGCTAACTTAATACAACTGCAATAAGAAAGCAAGTTGTTGAGACTGTTGGCTGTTGCAAAACTCTGTAGAATTGGGCATAAAAGTTACAGCCACAAAATCCAAGGAGGTCCAATTATGATGGCGTGTCTGACACAGCTTTAAAACCGGTGTGGAGGGGGCAGCCTTAAAAGGAGTCTTCCAATTGGCTTAGTTCCATGTTAGAAATTTATTATAAAACAGATTGCATTGTTGTATTATTATTGTACAGGTAGTCTTTGTTTAGTGACTGCTTTGTTTAGTGACCATTTGCAGTTATGATGGTGATGAAAAAGTAATTTTACCAGTCCTTGCATTTATGACCTTTGCAGGTCTGTAAAGCAAAGGAAAGCTGAAGCAAGATCGTAAGCATGGTTGTGGTTTCACTTAGAGACCACTTCACTTAACGACCAAGTTGCCAGTCCCAATTTTAGTCAGTAAATGAGGACAGCCTATAGGTTTCTTATTGTATTATTGTAGGTTTCTCACTGTATTATTTCCCATATTCACGCTTTGTGGCAACACCCCCCCCCCCCCCCCCCACCGCCATGATTCCTTTGCAAGCCCCAATGCAGCTTTCCCATTTCCCAGCAATCCCAAGTGATGGGACTGGTTTTTCAAAGCTTTGGCAGAGAGGCTTCCAAGCTACCAGGCTGTGGGCAGTTGCATATGTTAAAGTGATTAAATGTTAATAATTAAAAAGGCAGCTCAAATGAAAGGATGTCTCATTACATCCTAAAAATGTCAGAGCTTTAGAGAGTGTGCAAAATAGCCTGTATGTTTATCTTGTCTAGTTTTGTTTCATGCATGATGTCCCCAAGGGCCTTTTGTCATTTTTTTTGACAGGCTTCCTGGTCAGCAATTAATCTTTTCACTAAAAATAATCTACTTTCCTCCCCTGCCAGCACGGTGCAGGCTTATAATGTGCAAGATGCCTATTTAATTTCTGTTTAATGAACCACCCACTTCCAGATGGGTCTTCCCAAGTTCTGCTGACCATATCAAAGCCCGAGGATGCTAATTTTGTTCTAGTCTCCAGCATGAGGACAGGTTCTCCATCGTGGTCTGTTTCTACTGCAAATTGAACCCCTATTTGATTGCCTCAGATTCCTCTGATTGCTCCTCTTTGTTTTGTCAGCCAGAGACCTAATAGCACTTGGTTTACAATGGTTAATTTTACTGTTAACGTTTTTTATTGCATGACATAAATATTTGTAATGTATATTGCTTTGGTATTTCTTGTAATGAAAAAATAGTGTGTGGGTGTATATGTCTCCCATAAAAGAATCTGTTCCAAAAGAACAGCATTCAATTAAAGTAGGGTGTTAGCTTTCCAGAGTACATAGAGAAATGTCATAACTACCTACTGTCTGATGGAAGCTCAGTATGCAAGAATGATTCTGAAGCAACTTTTTGTTCTCCTTTGTGGGCATCCTGTTTCAAACAGTTGCCAACTCTACCGAGCTGCAAATTTGGACACCCGAATGAATCATTCAGATCTACTAATTTTAGCTGGTTGGGTGGAACTTCTAAAATTCAGCCTGGCACCATGATCTGTATTTCCCTTATTCTGATGCTGCCTAAATAACTGGCTTTTAAGAGATACGCTGTTGGCCTTTGGTCATGTGATGTATTAAAAAATGAGCTCCTTCCCCTGTTCTAATATGTTGTGTTCTCTGCCTGCATAAATCTTAAACTCCTGACATTTTCCAGCACAATTCCTCCAGTGGTTGCCATCATTCCGCCACCTCCAGATATCCAACCTGTAATTGACAAGCTAGCCGAATACGTTGCAAGGAATGGGATTAAATTTGAGACTAGTGTTCGTGCCAAGAATGATCCAAGGTGGGTATAAGAGGCTTCTGTCTTAGTTTCATTTTATGATAACCATGCAAACAAGTAGCTTGCCCCACTCCTTTGACAGACTTGTCAGAAAAAAGAACAGAGTAATCTGTTGTAGTTCCCCATATTAAAATTCAAGAAACTACTGGAAGTTAATGATAAAGCATTATTGCCAAAGAATCTTGAAGCTTGGCTTCCAAATATATGTATCTTCTGGGCATTTAGGTGTACTTTATCAGTTTCAGAATATCACATAGCCTCCTTGTACCTTAGGTGGGGAAATAATAAATTGTCACTGCAGCTTACAGTGAGGGGTGGCAGGGCGCCCAGTATGTCCCCCCAAATTACATTTTTGTTTCTTTCTTAATAGATTTGAATTTCTGCAGCCTTGGCATCAGTACAACGCCTACTACGAATTTAAGAAACAGTTCTTCCTTCAGAAAGAGGCCGGTGACAGCTCAAAGGTAGGCTTATGAAAGTGTAATGTAACAGCAATGCATGCTGGCTTGTTTGCAGGTTTTCCCCAGTTTTCCTTATTGATGACCGGAGTAGCTGAGAGAGCACCCAGTTTCCGTCAGTGGATTTGTCTTAAAAATGTGTAGTCTGCCCTGTTTGTTGCTAAGGAAAGGGCTGATGAGCCCTTTGCATTTCATGTGAGCTTGCTTCTTAATGCAAGGAGGATTAAGGCTATGTATGAAATCCCTGAGTGCTATTTTTCTTGTTATTGGAACCCTCTCTAACAAGGATTGCTGGACATCTGCTTTTACCTTTGGAATTGCAGGACAGGGTTTTTGGTGTTCCTCTTAAAATGGCTGGAAACCAATCATCATGGTACAGGCATCCTCTGCACCAGTTGCCAGACGTTGATTTACAAAATCACCTTAGAGAATAGCAGGATCAGAGCTGTATCGAATCCCCACAGGGATAGGTTTCCATGGCTTTACAGAAGTCATGCAGACAGACTCTTAAAACAAACCGCGGCCAATAGGGAGATGAGATTTCTTTCTCCAAAGAATGACCTGCAGATTGAGCGTGGTGTGGTGTGGGTCTGTGTACCTGTGTGTTGAGGTTGGGGGAGAGATGTGCGAAAGACCATCACTTCTGGTTCCAGAAATGGGCAGATCCCCTGGAGTCCTGGGCTAAAAATGGTATTTTATGAAGGCAGAGCACTCTGTTTGGCACAGCATGGATACTCACCAAATGGGTAGAAAAATGGGTAGGAGTGTAGCTGGATCCTTCCCCCTGCAACTATTCCTTCACCCAGCTCTGGGTTTTTTTCCCCCTTTTTGCTGTTTCTGAAGGAGGAAAGGTGTTGTGTGTGTGTTGTGTGTGTGCGCACGCATGTGCGCACTTTAAGGTGTTTTTTTTTAATGTGAGACAAGGTTATATATCTGGATGAAAATGGTTGGTATAATCAGATGGGATCAGTCAATTTTATAAACGGGTATCTTATTTTACAGGCAATTGATTTTAATCAGTAGTTATTGAACTCAGTTAATTTTAATGTATGTTTTTGTCCTGGCCCTGCCCTTGAACTATGTTTAGGTGGAATTGGTAACCCTAAGTTGGCGCAGTGTTGGCAGCTGGACATTGCGCAGGATTTTTCTCTACTCATGGATGATACATGAATCTCTGTCTCATCTTCCTTGGGTAGGGTGGGGGGTTTAATTCACACTCATCTGAATTAAATTTAATTCAGACTCATCTTCCCTTTGGGCCAATACAGTAGATTTGCCTTATTTTGGCAATGTTACCAAGTGTGAGTTAAATGCTAAATATCATTCCCAACGTGTACCTGTGTTTTTCCTTTATTTCAGAAGCTTTGTGGAATAGACCATCAATATGGATAAGTCACTGTAGAAACCTGGACGTGTTGCCTTACTATTTTCCTTTTATGTTTCTTTGAATTGTTTATAATGCATGTTTTGTGTTGGATGAAACAGATTGTAAACTGACAGTGTTGTTGCCAGGAAACTATCTGTTTCGCTCATTTTTCCATAATGGGGACAAGGGTGCTTTTGAAATTAATAGCCGGTATACTAATGAAGCAGAGTGTTCTTCCAATTTTAAACAGATTTTGCCATTCAGTTTAATGCATCATCAAACAAAGCTTTGGGTTTTCCAGGAAAACATGGCACATGAACAGTTTATTTCTTCAAAAGGGAGGATAGAGGAACCCTGCTAGGTCAAACACAAACATCACATTTGTACTGAACATCACATAATATTTATTAGAAGGCCTTGGTGCTTTTGTAATACCTCTCCTCCCCTTCAAAAAAAAACCTCAGTATGTAACTTTTGATAACCAACATTCCGTTTGAATCAAGCTGATAGATGTTAATAATTAGCTCCCAGTTTCACAGAGGATTTGTCTGTCTTGTTCTTACCAGCTATCAGTAGGTTTGTACATTGTCCTAAGCCACTGGAGACCAGACAGAAACATGACCAGATGAGCTAAGTCTACTTTATTTTAAGGCTACATTAACAGAACCTTGCAAATCTGAAACTCCCCCATCTCTTTTTACAGCCTGATAAGTTAAGGAGGGTTCTTTCTGTGCCTGTTTTGCAGCTGTGGGCTCCACCCCCTCTTATCTGATCATTCCCTAGGCAGCATCTCTCCCCCGCTCCCCAGTCTCCCAAGGTCATTCCCACATACCATTACAGCCACAATACAGTTTGGTTGGTCTCGGCATAGCAGGTTATGTGAACTGTGGTTTGTAAAGCGTAGCTTATAAATCTTGACTTAGTGTGAAGAGTAAACATGACCAATTGTAGCTTATTCAGCCAACGATACTTAAGCAAACCATGCTTCAAGGCAGTGTATGAACTTAGCTATAAACTGATACAGTAAGCCAATATATACAGTATGTCCATCCAAGGTAGCCTCCGATTCTATCATTAATCTTTCTTGCAGTTACATTTCTTCCTCATTAAACAAAATGTAGCCAGATCATTCATGAATATATTAACCCCCTTTTTCTTTTGAAGATGAACTCTTATTACTGAATGTTAGTATTAGCTAATGTATTCATCTCTTCTTTTTGAACATAGGGGATAGAAATTCATGTCATGAGCACTCTTAAACTTTATTGGTGCTATTAGCAGTAGCAGATAAGCAAAGCTAGACCTGAAGATTGTTCCTTGAAGATTTTAGCAACAAAATTCCTCAGCATTTCTTCAGCCATTTCTTCCATTGAAATTACTTTGTACAGTCATAATATGAGCTCTTAGCACAGTGCTTGTTAATGACTCTCTGGAACATTGTCATGGTCATGAAATAGTGGCGTCACATATATTTGAATTACAACTGAAGTGTAAAATGATTGGCCTTGGAGTTCATCCTCTAGCCCAGTGCTTCCAACCGAGGCAATTTCCAGCTGAGTAGGGTTCAACTCTTGGCCAGGCCCATTGTTGAGAACTATGAGACGGTTCACACCGTTGGAAGTTAACGCAGGTGGAGATGCTGCTCCAGAACTTTGTTCTGTGGCAGCATAATTTCATGCTCTCTTTGTGTCAACCAATCTTCCCCAATATGGGCGCCTTAACAAAGAGGCAGATTGTAACTCCCAGAATTGCTTAGCTAGCCTGGCCGTTGTTGAGCATTATGGCAGTTGAAGGGCACTCTTCTTAAGGGCACCCAGTTAAGAAAGGCTGGTATAAAGAGCCAGCCATTCTGGCCAAGTTCGGGGAATTTTGTTTTTCGCTTTTTCAGCCAGCCTCACATAGTACTTTGCAGACCTAATCTGTAAGACGACTACAGAGTTAACTGGCTTGGGTAGGACAGGAACATCACTATCGCTTCCTGGTTTCTGCCTAATGCCTTGCCATGGCTTCTGTTAAAAAAGCAGCAATTAAGTTGGAAAATATACAAATCCAGGGCTTTATCCTATCTCCTCAGGCTGGGATTCGGCTTTATCCCTGAATTCCTTGCAAATTGAAAGGCTGCTATGTTAATATTTGTAGCATTGAGAAATATCTATTTGAGTATATACTGCAAATGTTAAGTAACAAAGAGAGTACGGGTAGGTCTCGTTTAGCGACTGTTCGCAGTTACGATGGTGATGAACAAGTTACTTTGTGACCTATCCTTGCATCGCATTTACAGACACCTTCACAGTCTGTAAAGCGAAGGAAGCTGTGGCGGTTTCACTTAGTGACCGCTTTGCTTAATGACTGAGTTGCTAAATGAGGACTACCTGTACAGTTTGATGCGTGAGCATCCATTTCAGTTTGATTGTTGAGGTCAAGTAGGAATTTCTAATGCATTACAAAGTCAACCAAAATGATACTGTAGTGGACTAACTTAACTGTGCCTGGATATGTAAATGTCAGTGGTTGAACTAGTCGATTTTAGGCATGTTTCGGTGTGTTCCATGTCTCCTGAAAGGTGCATTCTGATAAAACAGGCTGGAAATCAAGAAAACCTAGTTTGAATTAATTTTATTTCTATAAAATACTTGCTTAAGTTGGTTTGATTGAACATTTTATGTGCCTTTCCCATCAAAAGGTCTTGTTTCCATCACTGCATTGTTAAAAGACAAAATGATGTTCCTTTATCTTTTCGTGCCAAGATGTAATAATGCCCTCTCACATGCTGCCAATTTGCTAGTATTAGCAATTGGGTTAGAACTGGAGAATAGTCTTGCCATTATGAGGTACAGGCAGCTTTGAAATATATATGTTCGGGTAATGAGAGCCATGCAGGCTTTTAATTAAAATCCATGTACAGAAACCTTTTAAGATCTTTCTGATCCACCCACACAAGAAAAAAAATCCACTTACTCTTCTCTGAGAAGAGAATCACAATGGTGAAATTGTAACTGCCCCAAACTCACACCCATGGCTTTCAGTTCCTGTAAGGCTTCTACTTTATAATGCCATGAATGTTCCTACATATTCCTCCGCTCTGGCCTACATATGTCAAAAGCAACAGATCCTGAGAGCTGATTCTGTCCTGGGTCTTGATGTGTTGACTTTCCACACCAAGAATTTTGCTGTGGAAGAGTGTTCATCCAAGGAATACCCCACCTCTGTTTGGTAGTAGTATAATCCTAAAAGGACTATCCTATATGCTGCTTATGAATGCTCCACTCAGCTTCTGTGAAATTACTCTGACTTGTCTGTATGATTAGCTCTTTGGAATAACTCATAGGTCAAAAGCTGGGTAATACATACTATTTTAAAGGAGTTTTGTCCACCTCTTTAAAACATCCTTAAGAAACAGTGTGTGCTTATGTGCTACTCAATTGAAAACATGTCACTTGGGGCGGTTCTTTACATTTCTTTTGTTACAGTTTCCAGTTTTAAAGTGTGCTTCATCGTGCGTTTTTCCCCTCTAAAAGCAGGTCCCTTCTTTATCGGAGGACGTCTCCACCGATGCTCCCAGTGCGACATCTGGAGAGACACAGTTTCCAGCTGACCAGACACCTGAAGATGCTGATTCAGCTGCTCAAGGAAATAATGTAAAGGACCCAACCACCCCCAAAGTTATCAATGATGGCAAACTGGTGAAAGGTAGGACTCAGTCCGGATATAGAAATTAAGGAGATCAGACCCTGTCTTTTGAGAACCCAGAGTCACGTTTGGTACCCAGAAACCTTCAGTGTGGCTCCCAACTTCCCTCTAAAATGTGCTCCTGAATTATGATTTTTAAGGTGACAGAACAGCAAGGTTATTAAATAAAAGGCAAGTAATCACATACATTGTTAATTTAAACGGATTCTAATTAAAAATGTATTAAGCAACATTTCTTTTTTTTTTCTTTTTTCTTTCTTTTTTGTCTTGCTCCTGCCTTCTTTTAAGAGCAAGTCAGTTCCAAGCTAATTTTGGTCCTTGGCCCCTACGCTAAGCTTTTCTCCCAGATAAACCTAGGTTGGTTTCATTATTAGTTATAAAGCCCACTGTTTACAAACAAAGCCTTTCCTTTATAGGAAGGTGCTCAGGCAACAGAGCACCGGTTATAACCTTTTTTTTTTATTGAAGTCTGTTTTCTGTTTTTAATGGCTGTCTTGTATGCTGTAGGTTTGAGCTAGTGCATTTGTAAATAATGTCTTTCAGCAAAAGAGTGGCAAAGCATTAAAATATTTGGGGGCATTCACGTATGTCAGCAATCCCAAATGATTGGGAAAAGCAACCGCTCTTATTTCCCACTTTCTCAGAGGCATGCTTTCCAGTCCACTCTGGGAAGACACATAACGCTTCTTGCTCCATCTTACTGCAAATTCTACTCATGTGCTCATTAGAAACCTTTGCAAACAAATTGTGTGTTTCAGCAGGTGGCTCTCTTAACAGTAGCAATTAGATTGAAATGTGGCTTGACCAGCCTTTCCTTTTTTGAAAATTCAGAGACATCTACCTGTAGGACCATAGCTTTGCTAGACTAGTTGGCTTTTGTGGGGAAGGGGTGAAGGATTGGTGACTGGAAGAATTTCCATTTCTACCAGTAGATGGTTAGACTGAATGTTCCAGCAGTAAACATTCCTCCCCCTGCCGGTTGCAAGGCTTCACCATTCACCTTGTTCTGTTGCAGTGTAATTAATTCTTCAGAGTAATTATTCCCCACCCCCATAGGTTAAATTATTTAACTGCTGTTGATGTCGATCCACAAACCATCAGACTTTAGGACCGGGGTAAGGAGGGTTATAGTTGACAGATGATTACATTTCATGGTGACTCAAATGTTCATCAAGGGTATTAGTTTAGGGGGCAAAATGAAATAAAGGACTTTGTGACCTTAGCAAGATAGGGGGAGAAACGGTTTGAGATAATAATTAGGATAAGGAATATAGGAAGTCTGTGAGTTTTATGTATTTTATGATGGGTTTTTGTATGGTTTATATATTGTTTTCTTGCTTTTAAATTGCTGTATTGTTCTTTTCTGTTGTTTTTATATTCTAATTGCTTGTAAGCCACCCAGAGTCATATGTATGAGATGGGTGGCTATATAAATCTGAATAATAACTAACTAAATAAAATGAGTCACTTTATATGTTCGATCGGGCAATTTGCCAGTCAAACCCTCTTTTTTTTAAAAAAAAAGTTAAAAGCAGTCCGTTTTGCTTTCAGCGTTGCCCTTAACTTTCCACATATTCTTCCATACCAGCATTTTAAGGGCCAGAACTGGTTGGGTTTCGACCGCAAAAGTTAATTCTCAGCCTCTCTTTTTTTAATCCGTTGCTCTCCATTTTATTGGTTGCATGAGGATTGATACAAGGCAAAACGCAGGCAGAGACTTCTTAGACATTATACAGTACAAACATTGGGTAAATGAGGGATGGAGGTCACGCAGTGGGTAATTCTGAAAGTTTTCCATTCCAAACATATTTTGTCAGTTCATAATTCTCCTCAGAACATGATGGCACACTGCCTACGATTGAATAGCACTCCAAGCACCTATCCTTGCAAGGACAGTTTCAGATGCTCATATGTCAGACAGGAGGGTGGAACAATTGTATTTGTAACAGATTGGCAGCCTGATCAGGTCCAAATGGTGACCATACAACCCAAACAGCAAGTGGTTATTTTCCAGGGAAAGAGCCAAGTTAAGTATGTGCAAGTTCAAGAGTGAAAATAACCTCTCATGAGTATTGGCAAATGGTATAAAGGGCCTTTAAAACTTGGTGGGGATAAGCCTTGAGGCAAATATCCACATGGTTTACTCCATCCTGCTTAATAGAAAGTCAATTTACGAAAGATTTTCCCCTTAAAAGGATGTATCTGGTGGAGTGTAGAGAGGAAGGAAAAAAACCAGAGCAGAGGAGTTCTAATATTGTTACTTGTCTCCCAAAAAGGATGCTCAGAAACATGCTTTCAGTCTTTTACACTAATCTTCTCCCTGCTTCAGTTCCTTTAAGACAGATCTAAAAAATTAGGCAACAGGATGTACGGTCACAATATTTTATTGGGTATTTTTATCTCGAGATGGCTGATAATTAGAGGGAGCCACAACACATAAACAGTAATTAGAGGGCTGTGCTCAGCTTCGGCACAATAGCAGGCAAGGAACAGGTTTCACAATTTTACACAGCACAGTTCTGATTTGCAACCAGAGGACAGAGGGGCCCTCTCCCAGACACCTGGCTGCCAACTCTGCATCTTCTAGGAAAGCCCCTTTCATTCCCACCGTTGAGCATGTTCCATTCTCATTGAGCGGTTTTGCTTTTCTCCCCGATTCTTTTTTCCCCCTGAAAGGCTGTTTGCCAATGTGGGTCACCCCTCTAAGCTTGCCAGGGTCTTCCTGGCGTATCTAAAGAATGCTGTTTTGATTACCCAAAGCCCAGATAACTGCGCTTACCCTTAATCCGCAGAAAATAACTAGTTGTCTGATAACACCAAGGCTCCTAGGGAAAATCTCACTGCCTTAGACCAACTAAGGATGCAGCCAGGCGTGAGACATTCAGAAGGGAATTCCAGAGCCTAATTCTGTTATCACAGAAGCGAGCAGCCTTCTTCCTGTCAAGGACTGCATTTTCTGGGGTGGGGGGTAGGATTTTGTGGGAGGCACATGGTTGTAGATTCCCAAGCAAATAGTTAGGAAGAGGCAGAGGCAAAATTAGGTGGAGATGACCATTTGCTTTCTGACCCTTGCTTTCTTTTTTCCCCCTCTCCTGAGCATCATGTTGCAGGGAACAGACAATATATCTTCCCTGGCCTGAACAGATTTCTTTAAAAGGAGAATTAAAATGAAGCCAAGCATGGCCTGAATGAGGCTGGGGGCTCAGCCCTGAAATGCCCTCCCCTACTCTATTCTATTAGACTTTTCCTTCTCCCTCTCCCCCTCCCCCAAAAATATTAAGCTCTGCAGCTGGCCATAAACATTACTTGGTGGCAAATATTTCTTTCTTTCCAACAGCTTCATTTGCACCAATAAGCTTTGCAATCCGGGCCAAAGAAAATGACATGCTCCCCTTGGAAAAAAACCGCGTGAAACTCGATGACGATAGTGACGAAGAGGAAGAAGAAGGCAAGGAGGGCCAAGAGGATGCCAGCAGCACCTCAAACAGCGCCACCGTGCTTGCCCCCTCCAGCAGTGGTCCCGAAGAAAAGAAGCCTCAGCTGACTCAGGAGGAGCTGGAAGCCAAACAAGGTAAGAACTTCATTGTCCGGAACAGCTGGAGGTTAGAGATCACGCCGCTTGAAAGCTGACTCTGTGTAGACAGGGCTGAAGTATTGTTAAATGTGGGGAGATGGAAAGAGGAGAAGCAGAAGAAATAAGAGTCTCATCGGTTGTTGAGATGCATGTTTTTTCCCCCCGACGGGATTCATTTCTAATTTCCTTGTTTAGTACACGGCATTTCTTCTTTCTTAAGCCCTGCAGCCAGTGCTAAATAACTTCCTGCTGATGCAAAACATATAAACGCATCCAAGGTATGAAAATTGGTTACCTGCATACAGATGCTGGATTACCTAGACTGGGTTTAGGGAAACCTGGCTGTTGAGGACCTGGCCAAAGACCCCTCCTGTATCCTCCCCTGAAAGGTGTATTTCCTGTGAAGAGGCCAGGAAAGAAAGGGAGATTAGGCATAAAGAGATGGGCAAGCCAGGTGGCAGCTTGTCTCATAACTGGCAACTTGGCCCAGGTGTCAAAAAACCCAGGAAGAAGCATTTCATAGCATTCAAAGAGACTCTGCCTTAATTAACTCATTCTAGAGGCAGCTGGGAAATTCCTGTTAGTTTCCAAAAGTATTTGCACCAGAGTGGCATTACTGAAGCCTGTGTAGCTTTGGGTCCTTGATTTTGCTCAGCTTCATGAGGGCTGGCCTTTGCTCCCTTTCTTCTTCCGCAAGGAGGCAGGATTTCCTTTCTCCCCTTCTGTCTGGTTTGGCTCTCCACCTAGGCATCACGTTCCTTGTGCTTCCTCCTTTTCAGCTGTGTTTCCAGGCTCTCTCGGGATCTGTCCCACTGTGCTCAGGGCGATTGGAGACACACAAACTTCTCACATGGGCTTTTGGGTTGAGTTAGAAAGCTGATTATGATAAAACCAATTGTTTGGCTCTAGCCATTATGATGTGCCATGCCAATGAGGCCCTTTGAGAATTGTCTGTAAGTTTGGACTCAACAGCATGAACTGCACGGTGCTGTGATCTTATAATTAACAAATGGCATTTTAATTGTTTGGGAATATGAGCTGTCACAAAATGCAGTGCTACCATTATTCCCACAGCATCTTCAGAGAATCAGTTTCAGTGTAGCCTGAACACAGTGTAGTCTGTGCTCAAATAGTGAGCACAGAGTTCCTGAGAGTTATTGCCAGTACTTTCCAAAGTTGAGAGGATGATCTGTAAGGGTGGTGTTGCACAGCATCTCATCACCTCATTAGTGGGTTGTGATTCAGACCGGAGGTTGTTCCTTCAGCAGATGTTTTGGCAAGGTCTCCAAGCTTGTGCTCAGTGCTCCATTTGAGACTGCCTGGCACGTGAACTTGGAAGTCTAGTGGGAGTTGGCAGTATACAGATACAATAAACAGAATTCCCAGGTTGGGTCTAATTGCACGCTTCTGCCACTTTGAGGGAGAATCTTCCCAAGGAAATTTTTAGGATATATGGAGTATGAGTACAGCAAAGGAAATGGACTTTTCAGGAATGGAAGCTGGGTATCACTCTTCATTATTGCAATCTGACACAGTGGTCGTGAAAGCTGCACACTCAGTGAATTTCAGCCCCTTCTCAAATGCAGGAATGCTACTGTGTCAGGATACAAATAAGAAGCCTCTGGTCTTCACCTGGCCAGCAGGACTAGAACGATTGGGTTCAACTTACAAGGAGGTTGATTCAGGCTTGACATCAGGAAGAACTTCCCGACTGTACAAGCTGTTAGCCAGTGGAACAGGCTATTCCGTGAAGTGGTGAGTTCTGTTTCAATAGAGGTTTTCAGAGAGAACATCCCACATAGCAGAGCACATACCCAGAATCATTAAAACGCTAGCTCTGTAATGAAGCATTAAATCTATTTGGCGCCTCCTCCGAGCAGAAGGCCATACTACTTGCCAGTTGAGGATCAATGCAATCAATAGTGAAATGCCAATGTGTAGCACATAAGAACAGTCTTTTCCATTGACCAAATAAAAACTGAAGGCAAATCCTTCATACCATGCCTACCCAATCACAGATTCATAAGAGTTGAAAGGGACCTTAGAGAAAACATTAGCAAGCATCTCTGAAAGCAAACAGAAATCTCACATCACTAGTCAAAGAGACAAGTGGCACAAAAAGATTATGAAGAAGTGCTTGAACTTCATTAGATCTCCAAGAGGGTTGAATTCTGTGATTGTGATGGAATGGGATTATGAAGGCCGAGCTCAGGGAGACAAACATTTTCTTAGCTTGCCAGAACCGCATGGGAGGATCAAGAGGAGGAGACTGGCACCTCCCTGAGGAATTCACACTGTTGTGGCTGGAGGACTTTTGGGAATGGGGGTTTTGTCTGGGAAGATTCTTGCTAGAGGTTGTAGCTAATAAACATAGCTGAACTGAATTGGCATTGTCTCTCGGAGTTCCTTGGGCTAGGCCTGACAGTGATCCAGCCAGTGGTTTCACATAAAGCACTCACCTAGGCTAAACTGAAGTTGGGTAATTTATCAACCTCGCTGTTGTCTCAGCTTGTATAAATGAACCCAGTGCATTACATTGTCAGAGGGTGCATTGTTTGGACATGTGATCTCTACACAGCAATTATGGTTCCTTCATCCTGGTTTGTTGGCTAGAGCAGTTTCTCAGCAGTGGCCATTTCCAGCTGTGTGGACTTCTTCTCCCAAAATTCCTAGCACTGGCTATGCTAGCAAAGAATTCTAGGAGTTGAAGTTCACACATCTGGAAGCTGTATGAATCCAACCACTAAATAACTCTCCTTTCCTTTTGGCTTTATCTACTTGTGCAAAGATAGAACAGATGAAGTATGGGGTATTCACTGTAGATCAGGAACACTGGCTTGTTTTATACAAAGGTAGCCATTGCATATGAAATGTATTTGTTAGTAAAGAAAAGGCTAGTGAAAGTGAGCCACTCAGAATCCTTGACATTTGCTATATTAGACACAAAATAAATGAGGCAGACAGGGAAAAGAAATGTTGTTCTCTTTTCCATTTTTCTTTCCTGAAAGCGTTGTGTTGGGTGATAATTAAATCTGCATTTGTGTGTGTCTAATTCAATAGAATGCAGCAGCGTAATTTGATGGAGAATTCTCATGAAGCTGTGATAAGGTTGATTTTGAGATGCTATGAAAAGACTTCTCCACGAAGTACAAACATATGATTATTAATAAAAATCATGAATCCATTTGCAAATAGAATTATTCATTAAAAAAAAAATCCTACAGAAAGTCTTGGAAGGCAGGGGGAAAGTATCAGGTTCCAGAGACACAGTAATTACTGCTCAATAAATTATTTCGTGTCTGCAGGTAAAAGGGAGACATGGAACGCTGAATTCCAGGGGAAATATTTTCCCTCTCTAGTATTCTGAAACTAGGCAATATTTTAAAATACTGTTTACAAATCTTGATAAAGCCCTTTTTAATATCCTTCCAAAGATGAACCCCAGCCACTAAAGCAATGCCATTTCATTTGTAAAATATCAATGAAATGTGAAGCCTGCTGGGAAATTAGACAAGGGAGAGATCACTAACTTTTAAAATGCTCAGATTCAGGTTCTTTTTAAACCTGTCATCAATCCAGGACATGTGAACGTGTGCCCCAAATTGAAATCTGGAAATTAAAATATACAGAATATCCTTCTGATTAAGGACTGCTGCACACATGAAGCCTAAGGTGTGAAATGAGGAAAATAATAGCCTGGGTGGGCAGGATTTCTTTCAACTGCATGGCCCTTTAGAGTTCAGATTCTTACAAGTTTTTGATGTTAGCACCAGGGTTCCGGAAAGGCATCATTCACAGGACCCTGGACACTTGCTACTAAGGTGTGCTGAACTACCAATCCTTTTCCATTGGCTGTGCTGGCTGGGACTTGTAGTTTAACAACATCTGATGGACCACAGGTTCTCCATCTCTGGTCTGGCCTTTCTGTCTCTTTACTCAAGCCTTTAGTTCCCCTAATACATTTACTCCTGATTGAGGCAGACAACTTGATTGTATTGCTTTTACGTTCCATTTCTTATTATCTGTAGCTTCTTCATATTGTTGCAACCCATACTTGTAACCGTATAATAGTATTAAATAATACACCATTCACGGTTTCCAATATTTGCCCTGTGTGCATATAAATAAACGGTGGACGCTGATCAGGCAATCTTAGATGAGCTTTTTGAAAATCCTGGATGCTACCATTTGCGCTGGGCTATAGCTCCCATCCTACACAGTCAACCCTTTCCTGTGGATGATGGATATTGTAGCGTTCATGTGAATTCAAGAGGAAGGGAAGCTCCGAAAATCTCTGATTTGGTTTCCAAACAGGAGAAAGAACTTCCTTCTCATGTAAGAAGATGTGATTGCATGGGCTCTTAAAGTTGGCAGAATTGCAGCCCTCTCAGTGGATAAATGAATTTGTGTCACCCCCCACCTCCTGCCCAGTCGTTCATGGCTTCCAAAGGGGTCCTGACCCCCAATTTGAGTACCCCTGCATTATGAGAAATCCCATGGCTCCAGCGGTTAAGCAAATCTAGAACTCTCTACCGGAGCCAGAACCTTTTATGCAAAAACAGGGAAACGGCTAAAAAGGGTAATGAATTGTCAGAAGATGCATAACCTATACAAGAAGCCTGAATTTATTTAAGCCACGGATATTTTATATGTGTGGGTGTATTCAGAAGGGCTTATTTCATCAGGGCAGGGCAGCGCTTATCCATTGCAGTGCGCCGTTAATTAATGATGACTTACAGCTTCACCCAAGTAATGCTTCAGAGTCAGGGGCAGAAGTCTGAATTGCTGGTCTCTGCTCGAAAGCCTGGAAAGGAAAAATAGAGAGATGCAACAGGCGAGTTTTTCCTCCGAGAACTCTACTGCCTGACTTCTGGCGGATCTTCCCTGCGTTTTTCCTCCATTTTGCTCAAAATCCTGCCGCGCTAATGGTGAGGCTTTGGAGTTCTCAGGACCCCACGCTCACTCCTCCACGAGGCGCTCTGAGTGATTTTGGCCTCGTTCACTTCTCTGTCTGCACTTAAGACTTTGGAGAGCGCCATTGCCCGGTGTAATCAATGTTTTTTTCTCAGCGCTTTGAGCAAGCTGCGCTAAGAGAAGCATTCATAGCATCACATGGCTTAAACACCCATCTTGCAAGCTTGGGATAGTCACGCGGGCCTGCACACCCTGTTCTAATTAGCACAGTTAGTGACAGTGAAAGGGGTTGAGCGTGCAACTACTGTACACTCGCATCCTAACCTCCCTTTGCAACCCTGTGTCTCCATCCCTTGGTTCTAGTGTAGCGTTGGAAAATGGCTGTGTTAGCAGAAAGCATTTCCATGGTAATTGCACCCTATGTGGAAGAAGCAGAGAAGCTCCTCAGAATAAGAAATAATTAGCAAGACAAGTTGCAGGCAACAGTGACAGACAGAATGTTTAACTTGGTCCAGAAACGGGTCCTCGTGCCGTTGCTTTCCCACCCCTCCTCTCCGTGCTCTAATTAATCCTCCCCTGTTTTGTATTACATTTAAATTTCCTTTAACCTTGAGTCTCTGGTGTGGCGTTGCAGGTGGCGGCATTGTCTGCCTTCTGTTTTGTTCACCGAGCGTTGCTTTAACGGCCAGAGTTCAGTTCTTTGAATTATTGCAAGACAAAAGACAATTATGCTCCATCTCTAGCTTCTGGGGGTGGCGGGGGGGGGGGCAACTCTGGATGGAAGCCCGAAAAAGGTAGGCAGTAGATCAGGAACTGCCATGTTGCAAACCTCTGTGCCCAGCCTAAATCTTGGTTCCCCCCGTGCTATCTGTTGCCTTTTGCTGCCTTACTCCTTTGTCAGTGACCAGGATCTAATTGGCAAGGTGGTTTTCCAACCCGCTCCAGCTTGCTCTGCCCTTGGGTGACCTTCTGAGAAGGACTCTGCTTTTCAAAGGCTCGTCCAGGCCTTTTTTAAAGCGATTTCCGTAGCTGTATTAGGAGCTCCGTCTCAGAGCCCTGGTGCAGCTTCAGAAGGTCGCCCTAGTCATAGCATCTGGATGTCTCTGCACAGCTGGATATCTCTGTTCAGGAATAACTAAGCCTCCATAAATGCGCCTAATGCTGTTTCTGCAGGAGTGGAGGGAGCAGGGGTTCCTTTGCGACTTCCGAGTAAGAATGAGCATCGTTTTTATTTCTAGGGGTATCAGACAAGCGTTATGGGAGCGTTAATGTTTAGTTTTGGCTTGGTTTTCGAGAGCGTTGACTCCCAGTGCCATGGAAACTGGGTGTTTTTGTATGTTGATGACAGTTCTGGATAGATGTGCGTACGACTGCTGTGCTTTTCTGGGTTTTTTGAGCCTTTTTTCATCCCCCAGTAAAAAAACCTTAATTTGGCACCCCCCAGTTTTGACACTGGCCCTACCCACGGCTGGAAAGCAGCCCCAAATTCAGCCTGCTAGTGAAATGCAACCTTTCTCCAGATGAAGTTCAGCCACTCGTTTGAAAAAGTTTCCCGCCCCAGCATACACAGCCCTGAATCATATGGACCGTTGGTTTCACGTGATTTAAGAAAGCTTGCCCCATTTGCAGTCTTACTGAATCAATGCCCCTTTTCACAGTTTTTCCTCTAGGCCAGTGTTTTTCAAATTTGGCAGCTTTAAGATGCTGGCTGAGGAATTCTGGGATTTGAAGTCCACACATCTTAACACTCTAGGCCCTCTCTCCCATAACTTCTTTAATGGAAGAAACTTTTCTTTGAACACCTGATAACCTTTGCTCTTTCCCATTCTCAGAATGTACAAAAGCCTCATCTTTTTCCATTTTCTCATACCCCTTTGTTCTTAATCAGATCCTTTGTTAATCTTGCCTGGCTAATGAAAAGTCGTCTTTCAAAAATCCCTGCTGCTTGATTTTTTTTTTTTTAAACAGCAGTTACAGTACTTTCCACTTGGTTTTTTTTTTTATAACTTTTGTTCTGCCTCTAGTGTATTTTTAAGGTGTTCTTTCAAAGCGTCTATAAAAGGCCATATAACATTTGGGTGTTTTTTTAAAGATCGCACGGGCGCCTGAATTTCAGACGATACCGATAACGCAGCTTGGAGTAAGAAACGCGGGGTCTCACGGTGCCTTAAGTTAAATAGCTGCCTTCTCTTCTCTTCCACCCTCTCCCCCCCATCCCAGCAAAACAGAAATTAGAAGATAGGTTGGCAGCTGCAGCAAGAGAAAAATTGGCCCAAGCTTCTAAGGAATCGAAAGAGAAACAGCTTCAAGCGGAGCGAAAAAGAAAAGCGGCCCTCTTCTTGCAAAACCTGAAGAACCCACTGGCGGACATGGAAGTCGAAAAAATGGAAGAAAGCGCCTTTAATATAGAGGTGAGCAAAGGAGATGCAGTTTGGACTACGGTGCACAGAGTCTGTTTTGGAGGTGGGCAGGGAGGGGGTACATGGGAGAGCCACAAGGGCTGCTGAAAATATTAGTGCTTCCCGGGATTGAATAAGGGGGGAAGAAATGGGGGGGGGGGAATGATCTAAACTGAATGGCGCGTTGATCTCTGGTTCTTCAGGGATAAAAGACATAGTGATAAATTGACTTCTCCGAAGTCAAGCAAAGGGCCATTTTTCGTATCGGCTAAACTAAGGGAGAAGAATGCTAAGATTTGCATTTCTAATAAAAGCATGCATTATTTGCATTTCCCAAACATGTCCGTGAACTGGAGTATAATTATCTCTCCAGATACACCATATTTTTCAAGGAAAAGTATTGTGTTGGGGGAGGCATACGCCAACACAGTTGTTGAGAATGCTCACCTATTGGAGAAATTGCTTGCAGTATTCGAGTATATTAGGAGAAATCCATCTGTACATACACAAATGTGTTTATGCCACATGAAGTGAAGATTCCCCCCCCCCTTCTGGGGTTATTAAGGGTTACTTAAGATGTGGTAGGTAAGGTGGTGCTAATTGAAAAGTTACAAGCATCCTTCTGTAAAAGCTTTAAACATCGGATGATTTCTCCACATCTTCTTCCGTCCTCCTGGCTTCATGTAGATTTTAAGATCTGGATTTTTTTTTTCATTAGAGGTCAAGCATTTAAGGCAAAATGGAAGTTAAATGCAGGCTTTGGGAATGAACAGTGGGGCTAATACTATATTTTGAACAAGACTAAGGGTGCCTTTAGCCCTCCGCATGTACCGTGTGAGAAGTAGTTTGAAAACCTAAGGCAATAAATTCACTTTGCTAACTGCATCTACCTTAATTTCAGTTGAGGCTGTGCATTAGAACCGATGGAGGCATCTGGCTTTTGTTTTATTAATGCTTTTATCCACCTTGCTTGTTTAGAAGAGAGTGGATCTGCCAGTACTTGGAGTCTGAGGCAGGGGAAAAAAAACAAAACCTCTGAGGGATACTGTGTTGCCTGGAGCAACCTAAGAACTAGGATTCTGAAAATAATTGTCCCCCGAGAGTTGAGAACCTGGTTTGCTAGAGCTAACGTGGCTCCTGAAAATGAGTTTGGGACATCAAAACCAGGGCAGAGGGAAGTCAAATTAAATTCCTAAGGAACAAAACCATATTGTGCTTGATCTTTGGCTAGCAGCAGCTGTCCAAGTGTTCTCATTAGAAAAAAATAGTCTGTATTGAGAGAATAAGATTTTTTCCCCCCTGTCAGGGGTGAACAGGGTCATCCCAGAAGCCCTAGAGGAGCAGGTGGTTCTTTGGCTCTTCCTATCTATTTATTTAATCATCCCTGCATGCAGTTGAGAGCTGGCAGAGAAGTTGGCATTTTGCAAAGCGCCAACCCAGAGAAAACATTTGCCTCCGTGACTATAATGGGAACGCTTCGGAAGTAGTGTGGGGGAGATCCTTGTAGGCACAGATTCTCCTGGAACAAGCTGGGAGCTTGCTGGTTTCCAAGCTACTGTAACCAAGTGGTCCTGTGTTAGAACAATAAGTACCCCTCTCTTTATCTCATATCATGTGCCCAGTCAACTATTCCAGATCTAACATAAGACATCGAACATTTCTGATCCCTGTTAAATTTCCCAGGGAGGGATACTTTACAAAGCCTTAATTTCAACTCCCCTTAAAGTTAAGGTCAACATACCTCCAAAATACCCATCCCCTTAGAGCAGCCTCCCCCACGGAAAGCCCCATGGATGTTTTAACCTCCAACTCCAAGCAGCCTCAGCCAGCCTCAGAATTGCTTAAGGATGAATAGAGTTGGAATCCAAGAATGATTTACATTGGGCTGGGATGCCTCAGAGAACACTAGCAGATATTTCTAGTTTTCATCAGATGGTTTCTGTTTCCTACCCCGGAAAAGTCATCTAACCTGTGGATATTTTGATCATTTCATCCCCTTTGGCAAGCCAACTTAGCAATAATTAAACAAACTCTTTGGGAGAGAAAAACGGGTTGTCATTAAACTGGTAAATATTTTTGTGAATGTTCATAATCACAGATTCTTGGGCTGGTTTCCTGTTGTTTCTTGAGCCAAAGGCACAGGCTGTACTGAGGTCTGTGACCTGACATATAAAACAGCAAGGTTGTGTGAAAGGCAGGACCATTCACCTTGGATACCGTTTGGAAAGGTAGCTTAGAAATCATTTCAATCTTGACTACACTCGATTTAACTACAACCTTTAAACTGTAGGCATGTTTTGTATTGATAAGGAAATAAGCACCTTACCATCTTTTGTATCTTTCTTGTCTTTAAACTAAATTGCTCTGCAAGCTTTGGCAGGGATTCCCATAAAACTGTTGGACAGGTTATCAGGCTAGAATTGCTGTTGCAAAGCTGAAGCTGAGGTCTCCTAGAATCTAGTTATAGGAGATTGGTTTCAGCCTTCTACGAGTCTCTTAGTTTTGCCCCAAAACTTAAGAATTACAACGGTAACTCTTGGAGCAACTCTTGGAGCTCAGCATAATGTGTGAACCCAGCCAGTTGTGGTTTATTCAGCAAACTGTGTTTAAGTAGAGCATGGCTTGATCATGATATGTGAATCCTACCATTATATGCATATAGTGTATGGTAGTTTTGGGTACAACATTTTCTGTCCCTCAATTTCAGGGAAAGTTTTCACAGCCCTGACCCTCCTGATTATTTTATCTTGTTCTTCCTCTTGTTCTGATTGATTAATTAATTATTTATTTATTTATTTATTTATTTATTGTTTTTTGTTTTTTCTTTTCTTCCATGTTTTGGTGGTGGTTTTGATCTTGGTGCCAAGGTCTTGTCTTTTTTCAGTGTTCTCCCCCCATGTAGAAAACACTGTGACTTCCAACACATCTTTGGGTAATGACATCTTGAGCAAACTCAGTCAAAGGATCATAAATTCTCCATCACCAGAGAGAATAAACATTATCTTAGCAAGAATATGATATGTAGGGGATTCACTGCTGGAAGATCTGTATTACATCCCTCTGTTTCACTGTAATGAAGACAGAGCTATATCTAAAACCTAGGTTTTTCTGGGACGGGAAATTCAATTCAATTAAAATTTCCATCACGTCTTTGTAAGCTCATGAAAGTACATCGGCTTAGGGATTGAACTATAAATCAGAGGCCAGTGACTTAAATTTAAGACATCCACTTTCCATGTCAGCTTTACATATGCAGGATAGACGCAAGAGCACCCTATTGTATATGTTTGCTTTTCGGATAGAAACAGGCAATGTGCCATAGGTATTTTTGAGTGAAATGCTTTAAAAAAAAAACCCTCTATATTCCTAGCTTAATTCCAAATAATCAGACCCTGTTAGATGTTGTGTCAAGTTGGCTACTTAAATGGAAACTTCTGCAGATAAGAAAATGGTAGGTTTCTCTATAGGCAACTATGTAGAAAGAATATTTAGTGATAGTAGAATAATATAGTGTTTTAACATAGGCAAATGAAGAGATCAGTTCCTTGTGGCTGAGTTGTTGGTTAGATTCTCTGCTTCCTTGTAAACTCTGCCATCATTGCCATAATTCAGGATTGGATAAGCTAGTGAAGAGTATGCAGACACACCCAATGCAGACATTGTGTCATTTCCAGGATCTCATGTTTGCATTCTTGCCTGAAATCTCAGTTATTCAGGTCAATTCTCCCCACTTCTCCCCCCCCCCACACAAAAAAGCTTGCAGTATTTTCATTTAGGCCATCCCTGGATGAATGGTTTATTTTGTTTTTTCCCTTCCCTGTCATTTTTTAAATGAAAATGTTTTATATAAACCCCTTTGAGATCAACATGGAAGCATTTAAAGTGAATGTTAGCTATTGAAAAAAATGAGCATATATTAGAATGTCTTCTGTATGAAAATGTTGGAAATGCTATTACCATCTCTTCACCTACTCCTTCATTTTCCTGGTACCCTTCTGTTTCTCACCAGGTATCTCACTAAGTCTGTTCCTCCAGTCCCAGAGTAGAACTGAAAGCATAGAAGACAAAATCTCTTTTCTCCAGTTCTCACCTCAGTCATGTGAAAAACTGCTTGTATTCTGTGAGTGTCCACCATTCTACCTTAAGTTACCCTGGAGGATGGATCCTCTACTAGATGGTAGCAGGGAGTTGGAAGACCCTCATTATCCTCCAGAGTGAAGGAAAGAACTGGAAAGAGAAGTGAGGGCAGAAGGTAGACAGTGTAGTCTCCTATTCAGTCAGTAGGGTAGAGCAGAAAATGGAAAGAGGTTCATACATTCCATGTTTACCCATTTGAGGATATTGCCTGTCTGGAAACCAGGCTGTTTGTGACAGTTGCAGCTAGACTGGAACCCAAGGGCTTAAAAAATGTGGTTTGAGGGTACATGTAGCCCACCCCTACCTGAGTCTACGGGTGGGTTGAATTACTAATCTAGAGATAGCTTCCAGGGTAGGAATGAAGCTCCTTCAGGTGGTTCTTGAGAAATATTCCTGTACTCCCCATGAATTGAGGCTTCAGAAACATTTGGTGCTTAGGCTAAAAATAACTGGAATTGTATGTAAATGAGTCTTCTTTGTTTTAAATCTCGTCTAATAGCTTTTGTGTTTTTAATAGCACTCTTTGTGATTATTAACAAGCACTTGGAAATGCAGATTTTAAAAGACAATGAATATCTTTAATTGCTCCCAAGCAACAATTCTTGTAATTTACGTTGGGTGGTGTGAATGACATGTTAAATTGTATATTATTAGCCACTAACAAATTTCAAGGTTCCCTGTCACCACCACCACCCTACCCTTGCCTCTTTGTTTCATTTAAAAGTATTTTGAGAGCTTATTCTTTGAGTTGAGCAGATCTTCAGGTTTGATTGTTTTATTATTGTTGGTTGTCTAAATGACTGTGACGTATCTGATGATGTTAAGGATTAGAAAGGTGAAAGTGCATCTTGCTTAAATGAATTTATGACAGCGAA